AGAGAGACTGCAAAGTCCTCAAGGATCGGCGTTCACCACGCCGACGCGGTCGTATGGGGACCAGTGTATAGAACGCGCCTGAAACTGCCGTCTGGTCTGGTTCCCATCCGTCACGGACATGTTGTACGAGACGTGCTCCCTCGCCGCCGCCGCCGCCGCCGCCGCGGCTTTTTCCGCCTTTTCCGCCGCCGCGCGTTCGACGGCCGCGAGCTTGTATTCCTCCGCCGCGGCCTGCGCCTGGAGGACGACGTCGATCTCGTCGTCCTCGATCTCTTGCGGCGCGTCGCACCGGTTGAAGTAATCGTACGGGTTTAAGTTGCAGAACCTGGGTTGGTTCGATCGCAGGGGGGGGGGGGGGAGAGGGAGGGAGGGCGCGCGCGAGGGACGAGGGACGAGAGAGTCAGACGAGGGCAAAGTCCTTATGGAACGGCGTTCACCACGCGAACGCGGTCGTGTGGGGACCGGTGTAGAGCGCGCGGAGGGACGGAGGGAGGGAGGACGGGGCGTTCGAATCATCGAATCGGTCGAGCGCGATCGGGAAGGAGACGAGCGGGCGGGCGCGACGCGACGAGACGAGACGAGACGCGCGCACCACTGCTCGTCGTCGCCGAGCGCGTCCGCGATGCGCTTCGGAACGCGGCGCCAGATCTCGCAGGAGTCGCACTGGACCCACTGGTCGGACGTCAGCGGCGACAGGAGCGCTCGGAGCGCGTCGGAGTACGTCGACGGCGCCATGATGCCGATGGATGAACGCGGTGCTGTGTTTCCGCCCTAATAAACAACAAGCGACTGCCGTCGCCGATCGACGGACGGATCGGTCGGCGCGCGTCCTCCTCGCGACGACGCGACGCGACGCGACGAGGTGTTCGTCGTTCGGGGGTCCGCGCGACGTGCGGTCGCCGAGTGCGACGCCGCGACGACGACGCGGACGCAGGATCGATCTCGCGTCGACGGCGCGAAGCGCGTGTTATCTTTCATCAGGGCCACTCCATACAAAAAGAGTTCACCGGTCAGTTGAAAAGGGATGCGATCAAATGTTGAAACCGGGCGATGGGTGAAACACGTTTGTATAGAACGCACCTCAGCGTGGGCACCCTCTCAGCTTTTCCGTTGACGAGGCGCGTTCGAAAATCGATGGCGTCGTCAGATCGACGAGACGCGCGCGACGGCCTAGTTGGCGCGGCGGACGGAGAAGGAGGACGGAGGAAACAAACGTCCAAACGTCTCGAGCGACGAGAGCGGCGGCGTCCGTCATGGCGAACAACGAGTACCTCAGCGTAAGCGCGTTCCTCACCGAGCAAGAGAAGGTCCCACTCGTCTTCAACAGCGGATGCTCCGGGCTCGGGCGAGAGGTGGACGAGCAGTGCGAGACCGACGACCTCCCGCCGGGCTCCGCCGCGTCGATGCCGCTGTGGCTCGTGCCAAAACTGTACGAGCAGAACATGGTCGGCCCGCGGATGCCGGACTGCTTCGGCGACGCGGTGTGGATGGTCGTCGACGCGGAGCCGAGGCGCGTTCTCCTTACACTGGTCCCCATACGACCGCGTCCGCGTGGTGAACGCCGATCCTTAAGGACTTTCCCCGGCGTCTCTCTCCGCCCACTCCACGCTTTCAATCCCGACACACCTCGACGCCTTTCAACTCCACGAAATGACGCCTTTCAACTCCACCCCGACGTTCGCCAGGAACGTCCCGCTGCGCGAGATCAACGCGCACTTCTTCGAGTTCGGCGCCAAGCTCAACGCGATGCTGCGCGACGCCGCGCTAGGCGACCAGCTCGAGAAGGCGTTCGTGCGACGATACGCGACGCTGCTGACGGAAGCGCACAGCACGGGGGACGTGAAGTGGCGGCATCTGCTGACGAAGGAGGAGGAGGTGTTGTTCGACGCGGGGCGCGAGAGCATGCGCGCGTTCAACGCGTGGAAGTACAGCTCGAAGGAGAGGATCGAGGTCAGCGCGCAGGTCAAGGCGCAGAAGCGGAGGAGGGCGGCGGCGAGGAACGGAGGGGGGGAGGGCGGCGGTGGCGACGACGGCGGCGGCGGAGGGAAGAGGCGGTGATGGACGCGCGACGTGCGTGATGGATCGATCGACGGGGGATCGCGGGTCGGCCGCGCGTAGCGTGTTTGTTTCACCGACGAGAACGAGACGACGACGACGCGACTCTCTTCCGGCGCCCTGCTCATCGCGCCGCCGCTCTCTCTTCTATCGACTCTCTTCTTACATCCCTACCGTAGTGATACCCTGAACCTACTTTCAACTCGGCACGTACCACAGGACGTAGAACATCGCCGCCGCGCACGCGCACGCGAAGACCCCGCCTCGCGTCAACGTCGCCAACACCCGTCGCTCGGCGACCTCGACGCCGAGACCCAGCCCGAAGAGACACGTCACCGCCGCGCGACCGAGCGCGGCGACGATCCAGACGACGGTCGCGACCGCGACGTCGGCGACGCGGCGGCGGGAGGTTCCGCTGAAGGCCCCTAAAACGCCGCCCGCGCGACCGCGCGCCCCGAGAGCTTTCATCGCCGCCGCGCGGCTGCCGATCGACCGCGCGGCGATCGCGGCGTCGCCTCGCGTCGGCAAGACGTCCGGACGACGCGCGTCAGGGTCGTTCTATACAAGCGAATGGCGGGGTGGAGTTGAAAGGCGTCAGATGGAGTTGTAAGGCATCGATGGCGGGGATTGAAAGCGAGGGATGGGCGCAGAGTGACGCCGGGAAAACTCTTTAAGGATCGGCGTCCACCTCGCCAACGCGGTCGTATGGGAACCAGTGTATAGAACGCACCTCAGCGTCGGCGTCGACGTCGGGGAACAGCGCGTCGACGATCGCGGCGATCGCGTCGTCGTGCTCTTCCGGCGTGCGCATTCCCGCGAGTCGGAGGTACAGCGCCCACGCGACGCCGGGCCACCCGGCGGTCTCGAGGAGGCGTCGCCACGACGCGTCGAAGTCAGCCGCGGACCGCGGCGGCGGGGAGAAGAGATTTTCGAGATCGTCGAGATCGTCGTCGCGGCGTCGCGCGCCCCTCGCGGCTCTCGACGCCGATAACGGCGTGGCGACGCCGACGACGCCGTGCGTCCCCGGCGGCACCGGCGGCATCGACGTCGCGGGCGACCGCCCCCGGAACGCGCTCGGGAGACCGAGGAGGTCGAAGACGACGACCGATCCGCCGCCGCCGACGCGCGCCGCCGCCGGTCCCGGCGACGTGGACAGAAGGTCCCTGACGACCCTCGCGGCGTTCTCGCGCGCGTCTCGCGCGAACGCGTGGCGAACGTTTCGTCTTCCACCCGCGGCGGCGGCGCGTCGTTTCGAATCCCCCGGACTAATAAGGTTATCATCAGGGCCGTTCTCAGTCGCCTCGATCGCGCCGTCGTCCAGCGCGGCACCGAAACATAACGCCACGGCGGCGCTCGACAGCGGCCGCGCGCCTCGCCACGCGCGCGCCGGCATCGCGTGCACCGTCCGAAGCGATTCGTCCAGGCCGTCGTAGATGGCCGCGAACCGCGCGCTCGCGCTGCTCGTCGCGAGGCACCGCGGTCGGATCTCGATCGCGGCGCCGAGAGGCGGCAGCGGGTTCGCAGCGCGCGTCAGCCACCAGCTGAGGTCGCCGTGCGAGGTCCTCGACGGACGCGCGCCGCACGACGCGAGAAGGTTCTCGACCTCGCCGCCGTACGATCGCCGCATGTAGTCGTGCCCTCCGCCGCCGCCGGACGCGGCGTTGGTGGCGCGGCGCAGCGTCGTCCGCAGGAACCCGCCGAGGACGCCGGCGGCGCCGCGTCGGCGGCGGACGCCGCCCCAGCTCCCCCAACTCCAACGCAACTCCTCCGCGGACGGGGACCCCCCCGAGTCGCTCCCCGCCCCGTCCCCGGGGACACCGCGCGCCGCCGTCCCCGCCGCCGCCCCCGCGTCGTCGTCGTCGTCTGCGCGCCACCGCCATCCAACCTGCGGCGCGAGCGCGCGCCCGGACGCGTGCGCGAGCCACACGTGATGCGTCGCGACGGCGCGGTCGAGACGGAGGTTGAGCGTCGCGAGGTCGCGCTCGTCGCGCGTTGGTCCCTCCGTCGCGCGCCGGACGCGGTCCGCGGCGAGGCACCACGCGTCGAAGTCGTCGCCGAACCGGGGAGCGCGACGGCGGGGCGGCGCGCCGAGCGACGACGGCGACGGCGACGGCGACGGCGCGCGGCCGCCGGCGTCGGCGTCCTCGTCGACGACGGGCACCGCGCGCGCGACGACGTACCCCGCGCCGTTCGGCTCTTCCCTGCTCGACACGATGCGTATGTGCCGCGTCGCGCGGCAGCGGAGGAGGACGCGCCCGTCGAGGAGCTCCTGAAACGCGGTGATGACGCACTCGACGCCGTGATCGGAGAAGACCACTCCGCCGCCTCTTCCCGCGCCGCCGCGGCCGCCTCTTCCCGCGCTCCTCCCGCCTCCTCCTCTTCCGCCTCGACCGCCGCGCCCGGCGGGTGGGCTATCACTACTTCCGCGTCGTCGTCGTCGTCCCACGAGCTCGCTCGCGGCGGACGACACGAGCCCGACGATCCCGGGCGCGCGGCCGGGCAAGCGGTCGCGCTCGTTTCCGCCCCCGTTTCCGTTTCCAAAGTCATCAAAATCGCCGCCGCCGTCGCCGTCTTCCTCCTCCTCCTCCTCCCAGGGCCGCTCGACGACGCCCACCATCCCGAACCGCCGCGTCGCGCGCAGACACCTCCTGACCATGAGCTTATACCGCTCCTCGAACACGTTCAACGTCAACTCTTGCCCAGGGGTCATGTGATCCAGGACGAACAGAGGGAGCTCGCTTCCCGCGCCGTCGCCGTCGCCGCCGCTCATGGTGCTGAACGGCGGAAACTCCATCGGCGGCTCCGTGTTCCTCGCGTCCATCAGATCCTCCCCTAAGAACCTCTCCAGCACGTCCACGATCGTCGTGTTCACCGGCCAGTCGTGCGGGATCTCGTGATACAGCGGCGCGCGGCACGTCGGGCACGACGGCGCGCGGCCCGGTTGCGACATCCATCGCGCCAAGCCTCGCCGCGAAAACGTGTGCCCGCACGGCGACGTGACCGGATCCACGAAGAGCTTGCCGGTGATGGGGCACGTCAGCGAGTCCACGAGCTCGTCTCTGCTGACGGACGAGAGAGGCCCAGAGGGAGGATTGGTCGCGGCGTCGCGCGAGAGGAGCGCGCCGGGAGGATCGAGGAGGCCGGCCGGCCCGGGCTTCGACAGAGGTCGCGCGTCGTCGTCGTCGTCGTCGCCGATGGTTGCCGTGGCGGCAGCGCGACGATGATGCTGAGGGCCGTTCTATACAAGCGAAAGTCGGGGTGGAGTTGAAAGGTGTCAGTTGGAGTTGAAAGGCGCCGAGGGCGGGTATTGAAAGGGAGGGGTGGGCGGAGAGAGACGACGGCGAAAGTCCTTAAGGATCGGCGTTCACCACGCGAACGCGGTCGTATGGGGACCAGTGTATAGAACGCACCTGATGATGGTCGACGCCGACGTCGCCGCGTCCGCGTCCGCGTCGCGCCCGCGTCGTCCGCGCGGACGGCGACGTGACGTCGCCGTGGACCTCCTCGTTCGTCGCCTCGACGCCGCTGACGCTGTTCGCGCGGCCCATGACGGACGGCGTATCACGCGACGGCGACGGCGGACGGACGGACGTTTACGTTTATCCTTCTCGACGACGCCTCCTCCTCCTCCCTATCCCGATAAGATTCGAAACGGCGCCGACGGCGAGCGAACGACGCCGCGGCGCGCGATTCGAGACGCGCGCCGACGCGCTCGAGCGCCGCGCGCGCTCCTCGAACCCGCGCGCGAGCTCGTCGTCGCCTGACCTCGACGCCGGGAGGAGGGGCGCGCGCGCGGGAGCGCGCGAAGTTCTGCGACGATCTCGTATCGTAACGTGTGTCACGCATGTGCGACACCAGGCGACTCGACCGACCGCCGCGCGCGCGCCGACAACCAAAAAAAACAACTCAGATCTTCGCCTCCGCGTCACTCCTCGCGGCACCGCCGGCGCTCGCCACGCCGCCGCGCTCGGTTCGATCGATCGCTCGACCGAGAGCCGGACGTCTCCGAGACGCCGCCGCGCCGCGCGGACGGGACGCGCGCGCGAGGAGAGGCGGGCGGACGCGTCGGCGAGCGAACGAGAGACCGCCGCGAGCTAGGAGTCCGCGGTCGTCGCTCGCTCGCTCGCTCGCTCGCTCGCTCGCTCGCTCGCTCGATCGTCCGAAGATGGGCGCGCCGCTAATATTGTTTAAGATGTGGGTCGCGAAGAAGCTCGCGGTCCTGATCGCGCTGCGCGTGTACGGCCTCAAGAAGCTCTACCGCGGCGGGATGCGCCTGAACAACAGGTTCGTCACTCACGCGGCGACGCATCGACGCGTGCACAGCGTGCTGCACTCCGTCGCCGCGGGGGCGATGAAGTTGGGGGAGACGGTCGAGGGGCCCGCGCGGAGGTTCATGAATAAGATCGTGTTCGGGGAGGGGATATCGTCGTCCAAGCCGGGGTAGGGTGGAGGGGGGGGATCTCGCGGCGGACGGCGACGGAGAGAGATCTCGCTCGCGGAGGGCCCCGCGAAAATTTGACAATTTTTATCAGTCGTCTCTCGGGCCCCGCCCGCTTCTTCTCGAGCGGCGGGAGGCGAGACGCGCGCGTCGTCGAATAGGCACTAGACCGACGATTAACAACGAACGCATTATTAGCAACTAAGGTACCATCCTATCGCGCCTCCCTCCGCCGCTACATCAGCTTCGACGGCGGCAGCTGAAGGTCGTCGTTCGCGTCCGCGCGCAGGTATTGCCCCAACAAACTTCTCAGTTCGTCGTTTTGCGCCTTGAGCGCCGTAGCCGCCTCCAACCCCTCCCTCCTGCTCCGCAACATCGCGTGATACCTCGTCAGCTGCTCCTCCAGCTGCCCCCACACCGCGTACGTCTTCGGCCCGACGACGTCGCTCATGTTCTCCCAAAACTCGCGCTCGAGCTGCTCCTTCGTCTTGCGCGGCGCGGCGGCAGCGTCGGCGGCGGCGTCCTCAGCCGCTTTGAGCGCGCGCGACGCGTCGACGCCGCCGGCTGTACCGCCAGCTGTACCCCCCTCGCGCGCGAGCTTCTCCGACTCGACGAACGCCCTGAGTTTCGGGATGATGAGCTCCGCGTCGACCATGACGTCCTTCACGCCGCCGGACGCCGTCGCCGCCGCCGCGATCGGGTCCTCGCCGTCGCGCGTCAACGCGAGCACCATCCCGTCGAACGCCGCCGCGTCCGACACCGCCAACGCTCGCAGCGTCGTCTCCGCCTTCAATCGCGCCGCCGCGGCTTCCGCGAGGGCGATCTGATCGGCGTCGCCGCTCGCCGCCGCGTCCTCCGCGGACTGTTTGAGCACCCTGGACGTCTTCGGGTCGATGAGGAAGCTCGTCTCGTCGACGAGCGCCGCGAGGAAGCCCGCGTACGCGGGGTCGCGGACGCGCTGTTCAAAGGGATTCTCCTCCTCCTCCTCCTCCGGCGCGAGGTCCCCTTCACCCCCGGCCGTCGTCGTCGCGCCCTCCCCCTCCTCCTCCTCTT